CCACAACCTGCCTGAGCCGGCAGCCAGGCCACCCCACCCCCCATGAGAAGCCAGCAAGCCCTGGCTGACCTGGGGCCACCTGTCCCCAAACCGGCTGCTGCAAGTCAGTCCTGACCCATGGACGCCCCAGAGAGGGTCTCCGAGGGAGCAGACTCTTTAGGGAGCAGACCGCCTCTGCTGGGGGATTCGAACCACCGACTTCGGGGTTAACATCAGTGCCTAACCCACCGCTCAAACAGGTCTCCCAAACCCAGCCCTGCCCTCACCTCCCACCCACCATGGAACTGACCCTGGCTCCCCCCAAGCCGCCCTCGGAGCCTCACCGCACATCTGGCCGCTGTGGGCCGAGTCCACCTGGACGTAGACCTGCAGGAGGGGCACCAGCTGGACCTGCAGCTGCAGGCCGAGCGCTGTCTGCAGCACCAGGAAGAAGGAGGAGGGCTTCAAGACGGTGACGTTGGCTGGGGAGGATGAGCAGGGTGTCAGAGCCCCACAGAGCCTGGGCACACCCCTGGCCTTGCCTCCCCGACAGCTGGACCAGTGCATGCCCCCAGGTCCTCCCGCCGAGAGCCCGCTCCACAGGTCTGCTGCTGGCTGACCCCTCGGCGCAGCCATGGAGCCACTTGCAGCTGTCGCCCTTGTGGGGAGCCCGAGATGCACCACGAGAGGACAGAGCTCTGAGGACGGACGGACGGACGGCTGACCCCACAGCCGTGGGGCCACAGCTGCCATCCCAATCCTATAGTGGGGACACTAGTCCTTGGGACCCCAGGGAACTGCCCAGAGCCACAAAGAGCCCTCAGACATGAAGCTGGGCACTGGCCAGGTGCTGGGAGCTGCCCACTGCTTTGAAAATGGCCTGGCTGGCCAGTACCTGCTGAGACCGGCAGCTGGGTGTAGATGGAATTCATGTACACCGCCCCATTTGCCTGGATCCGGATGACCTAGAGAGAGGACGCAGGTGGGACCTTGGTGAGGTTGGGGCCGGGGGTGCCTATCCACTTGGGCACCTCAGCCCCATCACATCAAGGGGGTGACCCCCCACAGGGGGGGACACAGAGGAGGAGGACTTAGGCCTCTGGACCTTGGTCCTGTGCTAGGAATGTCCAGGGTGGGGGCTCTAGGGAGGGCTTGAAAACCTCTGTCTCTTCATTTCTTGATCTGTCCATCTGTCTGCCTACCTTCCCACCTGTCTGTCTCTCCATCTCTCCACCTGCCCATCAGTTCACCAGTCCATCATCTCCCCACCTATCTCTCCATTTGTCTTCCTGTCCATCTCTCCATCTGTCCACTCATTTGTTTTCCCAACTCTTCGTCTGTCTATCTGCCCATCTCCACGCCTGCCCATCTCTCCTTCTGTTTACCTATCCCCCCCACCTGTCTCTCTGCCTGTCTCTCTGCCCAATGCCCACCAGTTCCGCTTTCCATTTCTCTACCTAGCCATCTCTGCACCTGTCTGTCTCCTCACCTGTCTCTCCATCGGTCCACCTGTCTGTCTTTCCATCTATCTACCCATCTACCAGTTCATTTGTCAATCTCCCTGCCTGTCTCTCCAGCTGTCTACCTTTCCATCTGTCCACCTGTCCATCTCTCCTTCTATTCATCCAGCTCCCCACCAGTCTGACCCTCCACCTGTCTACCTGTCCATATGTCCACCTGGCCATTTCCCCATCTGCATTGGCCATCTCTGGCCACTCCCTCGCCTCCCGCTCGCTCCGTGGCCGGCTCTCACCGTGTCCCCTCCATGCAGGCTGACGGTCACCGACTTGAGACAGCTCTCAGTTTCGGTCAGGCCACATTGCCGCAGCTCAGCCAGCACCGTAAATGTGTTGTCCTCACATTTCTGATGACAAGGACACAGGGGTATTGGGGACGGCCAGTCCCTGAGGGGGTGGACGGGGCTGTGTGTTGGCATGTGCAGGCCCTGGGAGGGATGTCCACGCAGGCAGGGTGGACAGTGGCCCCGGGTGAGTGGGTCTCTGGTCCCTGTGGGCACCTCCGGGTTCTGAGGCACCCGGTCCATGTGAACCCATACATGGCCCCCACTGGCACCCTGTGAGGCTCTTCTGGGATGAAGGGCGAAGGGTGGCCCGCACCTTGGACAGAATGTAGCTGCAATCCCCGTGCAGGTCATAGAGCTTCTCGTCATAGGTGGTAATGTGGGCGCCGCCCAGGACCGAGCAGGTGGCTGGGCACGGGAGGTTGTCACAGTGCCACCATCCCCCAGAACAGGTGCTGGGGACAGGAGGACCCGTCTGTGAGTGAGAGACCCCACACTCATGCATTCACCACCCAGAAGGAGGGCCAGCTAGCTGGGCAGGGGGTGTACCAGAAGCTGCAGCTGGTGTTGAAGGTAGCCCCTGGGGTGTAGGTGCGGCCATGGTAGGTACAGGGGCACTGTTTCAGGGGCACACAGCCAGTGTGGGTGACGTCATCCAGCACGGTGCCTGGGAGAGGGGAGAGGCAGTGTGTGGGCAGTGAGGGGCTGTTCCCATCCCACTGCACAGGCAAAAGGGCTGTGCCAAGCAGGGCTCACCTGTCCCAGCCCACAGGGCAGCCAGGGCCCACTGAGCCACTACCTGTCTCTGAGGAGTGGACAGGAGGGTCTCCATGGGAAGGGGGCCCAGATCTTGAGCCTGCCCTCTGTCCAAGCCACACCTGGCTTGGGTAAGCTCCCAAGGTGTCCGTGCCTCAGTCTCCCTGCCTGTCCAGAAGGGACCTCTTTTGTCTGCCCTGCTTCCCTTCACAGATTAGTTCATCTCCTGAGTTTCAGAACGTCGGGGCCCACCCTGGCCCAGGTTGAGTCATTGGGGGCCCAATGGTCAGCGGTCAGTGTGGGACCCTGGGGCCCAGGGACCCTGGGATGGGACATGCCTGGGGGGCAGAAGCAGCCGTCTTCGCAGTGGTCCTCGCAGAGCTGGGTGCGCTCAGGGATGGAGCAGGTGTTGGTGCAGGGGGACCCACACTCATGGTGCTCCATGCCCTTGGGGCAAGTCTGGGCTGTGGTTGGGGAGAGAGGGAGGAAGACACTAGGACCTGTGTGACCTCAAACAGCCCTGGTCCCACCTGTCTGTTCAGTCACTTCCCGGGCCAGCCAGGAAATGTGCAGCATCCAGGGCTAGGCCAGCACCTCTGGGGTTAGCTCTCCCGTGCCCACCCCAGGGCTCAGCACACTCCCCTCCCCTCCTGGCCACCCTGCCTCCCAGACCCCTCCCCGGGAGACACTCACGGCAGAAGCTGGGGCTCCTCCAGTTCTGTGGCTGGCCCCCAGCATGGGCACACTGGCGGGAGTACTCGGTGATGGTGGCACATGGGCAGCTCGGGCAGCGGCACAGGTCCTGGTTGCAGGCCTCTATGTACGGGCTGGGGTCGACTAGCTGGTTGCACTGGGCAAAGGCCGGGCCCAGCAATATGCGGTAGCAGACATTCTCCTGGGGAGCACGGGAGGCTGGGCACCACAGGATGGACTCAAGGCCCCTCTGTTCCTCCCTCCCCCCCACGCCAAGATGATGGCCACTCAGCTGTACCTTGACCTTGCCGTCCTGCCGACTGAAGAGTCCTTTTCCTTCCCTCCTTCCCATTCTCTGTCTGCACCATCTCCCTTCCTGCCTGTCATCCACCCACCCATTCACCCACCCTCCCAACCACCCATATATCCACCCCTCCACCCATCCATCCATCCACCCACCCATCCATCCATCCATCCATCCATCCATCCATCCATCCATCCATCCATCCATCCATCCATCCATCCATCC